ACCCCTCCCTCTCTCTAAGAGGGGTAAAGATGCCCCTCTCTCTCTCTCAGAGAGGTTTAAAGATGCCCCTCTCTCTCTCTGGCAGTGGGTGAAGATGCCCCCCCCCTTCTCTCTCTCTCTCTCTGAGAGGGGTAAAGATGCCCCCCCATCTCTCTAGGGGTGGGTAAAGATGTCCCACCCCTCCCTCTCTCTAAGAGGGGTAAAGATGCCCCTCTCTCTCTCAGAGAGGGTTAAAGATGCCCCTCTCTCTCTCTGGCGGTGGGTGAAGATGCCCCCCCTTTCTCTCTCTCTCTCTGAGAGGGGTAAAGATGCCCCCCCCATCTCTCTAGGGGTGGGTAAAGAGGCCCCCCCCCCCCCTCTCTCTAAGAGGGGTAAAGATGCCCCCCTCTCTCTCTCAGAGAGGGATAAATCTGCCCCTCTCTCTCTCTCTCTGCGGGGGTTTAAGGATATCCCTGACTCTCCCTGTGGGGGGTGTGAAGATGCCCCTGTCTCCCTTTTTGGGGGGTAAAAATGGCTCCCTCTCCAATGGGATTGTGGGGGAAGGGAAGGTGAAAGATGCCCCTCACCATCTGCCACTCTGGTTGCCCCTCACCAATATGGCGGAGGCGGGCATGGAGAAGGGAAGAGTCACACGTGACTCGTAACGGTCGCCCTCCGGCGGTTGGGAATCCGGCAGCACGCGCGTACACCCGAGACGGCATTCGGCCCCGCCTCTTCAGCCATGCCGGGCGGGGCTACCCGGCGCACGCGCATTGGCCGTCCCCTCTCCCCCCATCGGCCGCCGCCATCTTGTATTCAGGCGCTCTGCGCTCTCTCTCCCTCTCCATTTTTGTGCTGGCTGGACGCCGTGAGGCCTCGAGGAGGGGGAGGCGACAGAAACAGCAAAGGTAAGACAAAAAAGTGGCGACGGGTGGGGGAAACGTATGAGGGTGGAGCCGCTGTACTGTTGTCGCCGCCGCTGCCGTAGTCGATTCCCACCCCCACAACTGATCCCGGGCCTGTCGCTCGGCAATCCCCGGAGCGGACCAGTGCGCAGCCGCGGCCGGTTCGGGAGGGCTCGACAATCCTCGATGATGGAAGTACGCAGCCGCAGCTGGCTCGGGAGCGTTCGGCAGTTCCGAAGATGCAACTGCGCAACTGCGTGGCCGGTTCGGGTCCGCTGAGCCACCCCCCCC